GATGCCAGATCGACGACGACATCGCTGAACACTAGATCTGCGGATCGGCAGAGTGCCCGGAGGAACTCTGTCGACGGGAATGAGGATGGTCTGGATCCCGATCCAGATCTGAAAGGGAAACCTCACCCTCCACAGGTCTCCGATATGGAGATCCTGGCGGATCCTGACTCGCGTCAAGATCCGCTAACAAAACAAACAAGGTGAAGTCTGAACCGTATGTATTTTTATTATCCATATAAGCCGACCCTATATATGCCCAAGGAGCCACAAGTCTCGGGACCCGAAGTCGGATAGCCAAGATACAAGACTTTGCGGACGAAGGTAAAGGCCCCTGAGTATGAGGATGATGGAGATCAAGACAGATCTGGATGGTCCGTCGAGGATCTGAAATACTTGTACCATCGGAAGAAGCTACGCGACTTCGTACATCAGGGTCCGGTGATGAATAGCCTGAAGCTGAAGCGGATCGCGAAGCCAAATGATCCAGTAACTGCCCCAGCGAATGTAACCAACAAGCTCGACGTAGTAACGGTCCTGATCAAGCTGTTGAAGGCAGCCGGCATGATCCCCGGATCCTTCGAGATGTGTTCGACCTGGGTCTGACCGTGATACAAACCGCAAGCCGAGATCTCTTCGGAAAGCTGAAGATCCTGGTTGGCAAAGTTCCTCAGATCGCGGATCCGGTATCATCACCCCCGATCGACGTAGTGGACAACCTGACGGTGTCATCACACTATGCATCTGCGGCCGAAGACGGATCCGACACCTCATCGTAATCCCGTCGCATGTCCCTGGGACCTTCCGGTGCGGTAATGCTGGAGGCGAGATTCAAGGTCCGGCGTCCAAGCCCAGCCAGATCTGGCAGTCAGGCTAAGGGATCAACTCCAACTGATCAGGCCACAATCACTTCGAGCCCGGATCAGTCGGCTGGAACGCTGCAGACGTTCTTCAACGCTGCGATGGATCGATTCCTAGCTCAACAACAAGCAGCAGGTGCGGATCCGGTCGTTGCGGAAACTTAGAACACCGGATAGCGGGATGTCGACATGGAGTCGATTCGATCATCGGATCGCGGATCCAATTGGGAATATGATCCAGACGACATCGACTTCCCGACACCCGCCCAAGCGGCCGTAGCCACGGCCGCATCCGGATCCACTGGATCCGCCATGATCCAACGAGTCCGGATCTTGGCGATCTCGGATCAGAAGGAGTTCTCAGGTATGGACCTGGACGAGGATCGAGCACGAGCTTGGATCAGCAAGGTCAAGTCGGCCTTCATGCGAGATCAAGCATCAGACGAAGAGAAATGCTTGACCTTCGCCGATCTGCTTGCGGGATCCGCGAAGAACTGGTATCGTCAACTGAGCCGATCCACGCGTAATAAGTGGAGTGATCTGTTTCGCAGCTTCCAGATCCAGTATTGCGGACTTGGAGTAACAGTGGCGAGGCAATATTAACATGCGCGTCCCAGATCCGATGAATCATCGCTGGACTATCTGTACCGATTGAACGTTGCCGGATTGCGTGCGCGAGTCAAGATCTAAGATAGCAGTACCAAGGATAGGCGTGAACATGTGGATCACTTCATCGAAACACTGGAGGATCCGGATCTGGCAGATCGGTTGACGTTATTACGACTATCGGATGCGGACGATCTGGAGAACGTACTTCGTGCGCGGGATCGGGCCAAAAGCCGTCAAAAGAAAGCTGCTTTCGGATCCGGCAAGTTTTCGGAGCCGGCAAGTTCCAACAGAAGGCATCCAATGCTGCACCGTCGGCTCCGGCCAAACAAGTGCGAGCGATCCAGATCCACGCTGCTGACTCCGGATCCGATTCTTCCGAGGGATCGGACGGATCCGACTCTGAGATGGATAGTCATCGCCGGATCTACCTTGCCGCGAATCAGGAGGTCACTCCGAAGGAGGAAAGCGAGACGACCATGCCGGATCCGGGACATCTGGATCCGGGATCCATGAAACATATCCACCTGGAGTACCGATCCAAGATCCAGAGCGATGGATTCAGTCGCAACCGATGCTCGCACAGCGGATCCAAGAAACATTCAAATCTCGGATGTTGGAGACGGGTGACTTGTACCAAGTGCGGCAAACGAGGTCATCCGGCGGATCATTGCCTTTTTGTATGTCGCGGATGTGGCGAGCTCCATGACATGGGCAAATGTCCGATGGAGGAGTTTTACAATCAGATCCGCCAATGGTTCAATCCGACCAAACACATGGGTATGCTGCCTGAAACTGCCGAAAAGATGTTAAACTAGGACGCCGCTCGTCGGGGTGGAATCCGATACGAGCCGAGCGTTCTAGATATTGCATCTATGCATTTGTGCATAAGACATCGGTAGATCAAGTTAGCAAGCAGCGAGATCTACCCGATAATACACGTGATCTGCACGGGAATCATACCTTCGCGATATCCAGTCTTCGCCAAGCTGATGAATATGCCAGAACCGATGTGACCATGACTGTGGATCTTCATCCAGGAGAATCCAGTGGTTATTGAAAACAGAAGGATCCGGATCTGTGGTTCAAACCTGCGGATCAGGATACTACAACGGAGATCACGAAGCCTAGTCGGATCGCCGAGTATCGTCGATCCGGATACGCGTCAACATTGGACCTCCTACCTACCAGGAGAATCCCGCGGATACTAGAAACATCATGCTCCTGGTAAGTGGTTCCGTCAAGCCAAGATCGTCGACAAGATCCACAATGAGAAGGCAGTCTTACTCCTAGATACTGGTGCCGAGGTGTCCATCGTGGATACCGCCTTTGCTCGTAAGGTTGGGTGCTACATCGACTCGAGTCAGATCCAAGATTGTGTGGGGACCGGCGATAATGTGTATCGAACGATAGGAAGAACGCGGATCAAGGTAACTCTCGCAGGATCGTTGGTGTATTTCTTCGATATCTGGGTAGGTGATCGCTCTGGGCAAGAAGCTAGCCAAGGCATGGACTTCATGGTCCCGGCCGGGATCCGCCTGGATCTCACTCATGGATCCATCAGCTTGCCCGATGAAGCCCGGATCCAGCTTAGGGGGAGGCGACTGCTTTACAGCGACAAGGCCAGGATCGTGAATCTTGGGCAATACCTGAGGATCCAGCCAGGAGGATTAGCGGAGCTTCCCTTACGCCTGAGGACTTCGGATCACGAGAAATTCTGGGTCACCCGTGGAAATCATTGGGTCCCCACAATAGTCCATGGTCCAGGGAAGATCCGATACATGAGGATCACGAACGTAGGCGACAAGGTGTTGATCCTCCATCAGGACTTGCGGATCTGGATCTGAGATCCTCCACCAGGACTTGCGGATCGGGATCTGGCTGGCCGGCGATAATGTCCCGCGACTGCCAGGCTTCATCTCAGTGGGATCCCGGCGCTACATGGAGTGGCAAAATCTGGCCCTCGAAGCGACCGTGGGTCCCCGATCTGCGGACTCGGATCCGGATGCTGAAGATCCGCCGAGGCTTGCAGTGGAGCGCCCCGAGTACGAAACTCCGCGCGGAATGCTGCAACGACCATGGCCGACGGCGATCGAGTGTTTGAAGGGCGGATCAAGTGGAGATCAAGGTGACTCTGACCACCAGCCCGTGAATAATCCGCCGTCGGACAATCCGCCGCTGGATTGTCGACCGTTGGACGTGGCGTCTGTCGCAAGTGATGGGTCGGATCTGTCGTCTATCGCAGATGGAGACTCTATGTCACATGTTGTAACGATCGTGAGGGCGCTAGACGATCAGGATCCAGGTGCATCAGGTATTACGACTGCAGATCTGCCCCAGGTCAAAGATCCAGCCGTGGAAACAGGAGTGGCAGATGAAGTTCTAAGTGGAGTAACTGGTGCAGATCAAGATCCACAGTTCAGGCGGTGCAAGATCCGAAGGTGGCGACGTTGAAGGGTGATGGGTCACACCCATCATCATTGATGGGTGTAGAATCTGGGACAAGCCATAAGTTGGGTGACCCGTTGGACAAGAAGGACGCCACGTCTATGTCACAGAAAAGAGACGAGGATCCGGCAGCTGTTCTGGAAGGTCAACCGAACACATCGGATCAGGATTACGACGAATGTGTGTATTACCACGAAGGCAGTGATCTCTACGCTGAAGATGTCGACGGACAACTAGCAGTACTGCCTGAAGTTCCAGCAACGACGGAAGATGTAAGGATCGAGGATAGCCAATTGTGCGGATCCGACAATCAGACGCCTGAAAAAATCGACCGACTCCGTCAGCGGATCTGGAACTTCCAACATCTCCTGATCGGCAAAGAAAATGCTCTCCCACCAGCAGCCCGAGGGGTTGTGTGTGATATTGATGTGGGAGGAGCTCGGCCGATCGCGCTCAAGTGTCGAAAGTTGCGGATCCAGTTCCGAGAGAAACTGGCAGAGTTGATCAAGGGTCTCCTGTCAGCTAAGATGATCAACCACTCAAGATCTCCATGGGCATCGCCGATCGTCGCGATCATCAAGAAGAATGGTGTGGATATACGATTGTGCATTGATTATCGGTTGGTTAACAGTCTTTAACAGCTGACTTTTATCCGATGCCGCTGATCAACGATCTACTGGAGGATCTGGAGTCTACACTATGGTATTGCTCACTGGACATGGTGAGCAGATTCTGGGTGGTTAAGATGACGGGACGGGCCCGCCTGATCTCGGCTTTTATCACCCCATTCGGAATTTTTGAGTGGAACCGGATGCCGTAGATCTACCCGCGGATGATCGACAACGCCCTGTATGGGTTCACTCGGATCCCGAAAATGGCAGGTGCTCTGGTGCGTCTGGATGTATTCGAGGCCGGAGAACCTGAAGATCCGGCCAAATCGTCGGTGTTAGGACGCAGTTCCTATATCGACGACATCTTAGTGCCAGCGGATAACTGGGATAAGCTATGTGACCGAGTCGAAGATCTTCTGGAGGCGTACGACAAATGGAACTTGTCAAAAAGCGTTGTCAAAAGTTTCTGGGGGCATGCCCAAGGTAGAATATCTTGGTCACAAGGTATCGCACGACGGACTGGAGGCGAATCCGAAGGATCTGTCGGCTTTGACGGATCTCGGACTTCCCGGATCCCTGCGTGCCATGCAATATGTTTTGGACAGCCTGAAGTATTATAGTCGCTTCATCGAGGATTATGCGATCTACACGTCTGTGCTATATGAGTTAGAGGGAGATCGACTATGCTGCGATGGAGAAGGGCATGAATCGAAGCCCGGCGCTAGCGTCGGAATCCCCGGATCCGGACATTTTGACTAAGGATCCGACAAGTCCGCAATCCTAGCATCCGGATCAGCGGGGTCAGGATCCCGAACTTAGCGAGCAAGATCCGAACCTAGTGTCACAGGATCCGATGCCTGATTACGTGAAGGCGTCGAACCCCGAGAAGGACAATCTTGCAGATTTGGATCCCCGGTGGATCCATGCTCACAGATCGCTCAAGGTGCTAAAGGAGAAGATCGCGAAGACGCCGATCCTACGTCACTTCGATCCGGATCGACAAGCTGTGGTGGTTGTATATGTCAGTGATTAGGCGATCTCCGGTGCATTGATGCAAGAGTATGACCAGATCTACTATCCAGTGATGTTCGCGAGCCGTACGTTGAAGTCCAACGAATCGAATTACGGGATCGCGGAGAAATGGGTGTTGGCATTGTTGCGGATCCTGGATCTCAACTATAATACTTTAGTCGGGAGACCAATCCGAGTGCTGACACGACACTCAACACTGGCTTGGTTATTTAGATTCAATGAATTACATGGTCGTCTGGGACAGTGGGCCAGGCTGCTTGCACCCTGGATCCTAGAGATCGTCAAGTGTAACAAGGTCGAGGATGAGATCCTGAGGACATTAGCAGCCTGTATCACTCCCAGATCCGAAGTCGGCAAAGCGCTGATCTCGATCACCACGAAGAAGGAACCGAGACGCAAGATCCAGGCCCCGATTCCGACCGTGAGATCGGATGAGGATCTGTATGTCGCTAGCTTCGACGGATCCGCCCGTGTCAAGCGAGGTGAAGGCGCCGACAGCGCGATCCTGTGGAAACTACCCGAGTGGATGGTGGTGAAAGCCCGATCCGGTTATGCCGAGGGTCTGACTGTCAATGAGGCCGAATATGACGGCTTTTTGTTATGTCTCGATTTGCTGGAAGGAACGAATCCGCTACGATTGGTAATCTGTGGCGACTCAAACCTGGTGATCCGCCAAGTTAGAGGCGAGATCGACTGCAAGGCGCCTGGATTAACGTTGTTAAGACAAAAGGCGTTGGACAGATTGTGAATCCGGCCGGATCATGAGTGAGTACAAGTGAGGCGAAGTGAAGCGAGATTGGAACGGAAGTGCAGATAGCCTGGCTAGTGCTGCATTGCAACGACAATGTGGAATAGAAGTCGAAACCGATAGTGAGATCCAGGATCTGATCACATTGAACCGACTGGACGAGATATTGGTGGTGAAATCCGAGGATCCGGCAGTGCAGATCTCGGCCGTTACCACTAGATCGAAGGCCAGATCCGGCGTGAGATCGGAATGCAATCCCCCGGTATTGAGCGAGGAAGTGATCAGAGAGCTCAGGATCGAGCGGATCCGACAGGCACAGGACGAGAAGGCCCAGAACCACAGCTTGAAGAAGTATCTGGCTGGTGAAATGCGCGATCTGACACAGGAAGAGGCCAGATCTTGCGGACCCATCGCCATGAATTCTGAAGTGGATCAGCATGATCTCCTTTTCAATCGCCCTACTACGAAGGAATCGCCTGCGGATCGGGACAAATTGATATTAAAATTGGCTGGTATGCTAATGATGTCCTACATCATTAGCATACCAGCCTCCAAGGTGGACATCAGGGGATCGGCCGTACTTACGGATTGGCCCGGGATCATTTTCACTGGAGAGGATTGTACCGAAGTGTACAAAGATATGTTGGGGAGTGTGTGGATTGCAAAACTGGAAAAGGGCGACCCTGGATCCAAGGCGAATCGCCGGGTAATCTTCAAGCGACGTATCCATTTCAGATCATCGCTATGGATAACATCCTCACATTGACCAGATCCTATGAAGGTAACACTGAGCTATTGATCTGAGATTCACACTGGAGGCGGTGATCCCGATGGGAAGTACCAGAAGACAGGATCGGGATTCGCTGGGATGGCGATACCGGATCCAGAGGCATTACCAACAGGCACGTGAGCAGGTGAATCAGCGCTTACAGAAGGCGATCGCAGATCGGGCGGATCAGCATAATGATATAGTGCGCCCGCATCAAGTTGAGGTCGGATTCCGAGTATGGTTATACTTGGATCAGATGCGAGAGGGATATACCAAGAAGCTTGCGCATCTGTGGCATGGTCCTTTCCGTGTGGCCGAGAAGATCGGCGAGTATGCCGTGAAACTTGAGATAAGCCGGATCCGCATACAATATCTTCCCCGTAGTCCATGTGGCAAAGATCAAACCCGTCAGAGAATTTTCGGATCGGTCGGGAATACGTCTTATGACGCAAGATCAAGATCGCCTGGATTTCGACGAAGCACTCCTTCCCGGAGATAGCTGGATCCAAGATCGCGATCCGGACGAGTATGAGGTCGAGAAGATCTCGGACATGAGGACTGGCCGGAAGACAAGATATGGTCGGATCCTGCGTGAATTCTTAGTACGCTGGCGCGGGTACGAGGATCTGACCTGGATCGATGAGGCAGATCTCAACTGGGAAGCAATGCTCCACGAGTTCTTGCGGGATCGCGCCAATCAGAATCGGTTTGGCGTGATGCAATCTCACGAAGAGACCTAAGGGCAAGCTTCGCATAGATGAGTTGGTCGCCAATGCGAGAAGTTTAGCATGAAGGATCTGCAGGGAGGCTGCGGATCGGAGGAGCAGGTACATATTTGGATATATCACAATGTGCCGAAATCTACAAAGGTCAAGGTCCGAGATAATGTGGAGGCGGATCACGAAGTACGGACTCTGTGGAAAATAAGTGAAAGGACCGGTGGAACGAAATGAAAGGAGACATATATTAACGGAAAGATCCCAGATCTGTTAGAGCGTTAGATCCAGCGGGTACCTCAGGATCGGCTGGCGTACGGGGATCCGTGGGCGAGTCGCGTCGGGCGCTCACCATGCCAAAGAACTTCTCCACCAGCCTAGGGATCTGATGCGCAGGGTGATCCGTCGCAGAAGTGCCGTAATGATTTCGCCATGGATCCACTTCGTCACATTCAGCGAGTGCCTCAATCAAATTGGCAGGATTCGGCCGACCAGCGCGACGCGCTTCAATCCCTGGGTACCAAGTTACTTCATCGGATATCTTTGGGAAAATGAAGGAGGTATGGATACAGTAGGAGATCAAGATCACACCAACCTGCTTGCATGGTCAAAACGAAGATGGGCAGGATCCTGCGCCAGCGATCGCCATCGTGTGATCGCCGATTGTTGCGTGCCTTGCAGAGAGCCGCCAGACGTGGATGATCCGCACATATACGCTTGATGATCGGGAGCTTGTGTGTAGATTCCCAATACACAATGAGATCTCGAAGCTCCAACTGCGAGTATTCGGTCAGGAAGACGCCAAGTCGACCACCCACTAGGATCTGGAAAAAGATCGGGTCGGGCACATTGCCACCGCCCAGGATCTCTCAAGGGGATTTGTCGAGGAGAGCCTCAATGTTGTCGACGGTGATCAGGTGAGCGCAGTAATCGGCATCCTAAGGAGGTCGAGATCTCGGCGAATGGTGAGGATAGATCCACTCGGGTCGGAACGGCAACGCAGTCGCAAGAAGATCCACTATCATCGTCATGATCGACCACCGACACATATCATCCAGAATCCAAGGATCGATGTCAGCTGCCGAAAATACGCAAACTTGGGTGCGCCCAGGAATGTACAGTTATCGGCGATAGGATCATGGGGTAGCATGGCTGGATTAGGAGGTGGGCGATCACCAGCAGGCCGATCGGCAGGAGGATTGGGAACATCATCACCGTCGCCGCCAGGTCCATCGTCGCCCGGATCACCCTTCCGCCACCACCGATACGACGCGGAGACGCGTGATTACGCCGACGTTGCGCGGATCTTGACTGGGCAATAGCTCGAAGGGTGTCCTCTTCGAACATATAATTCTCGACCTCCTCCGTTTCATGATTGGTGGAGGGAGCAGAACTGTCCGGATCCGTAGTATCTTTATGGTCCTCATCATCGTGTGCAGCATAATCCTTTGTGTCTTCATTACCACCGGTAAGATCCAAGATCTACGGCTGCGGGCCATCCTTCTGAGGCTCTGGTGCTCTGGTGCGGATCCCTCGGGTTTGCGTTTTGGCGGTGTGTTATCGCTGCTCGAACTACCGGATCCACCGAGCGCTTGGGCAGCATCTAGTGGATCAAACGAGGAAGATGAGTCCGTTGGACCTGGATCCTTCTTGCGATCTTGGCTGCCAGACTCGTCATCACCTGGATCATCGTTGTGCGGGGATCTACCACCCATATCGATATCCGCAGGTTCTTCATCCAGATCCTCGTCATCTTCGTCCTCTAACGATTGTGATTTACGCTTGGAAGGGCGGCTGGGGCTGGCAGACGAAGACGGGCTACGTAATCGCTTGGAACTATTCTTCGAGGGGGAGCCAGGTCAGCCAATGGGTGGATCCTTATCATCCCCAAGTGACTTCGACCCAGCTGGCAAAGAGTCGTCTGTAGGAGAAGATTCGGAGTCAGGATCCTTGGGTGACGCTCCTCCGTCATTTTCGCTAGGAGGAGCTCGGTCCGATTCAGAGCCAAGACTCAACGAGTTTGTCGGAGGCGAAGATCCCATCGCGTTGGCGACTGGCCGAGTATACGCAGAGTCCGACGAAGTTTTTGTCCAAGATCCGTCCGATCCACAGTGAGGATGTCGATGTCCGTGAAGAGGACCTGGATTCGCGCTGTACTTTGAGTGATCATGCGCTCCCGTTGCCCATAGGCTTCTCTGCCAACGGCTACACCGTGATCTGCACACGATAAGATATGGTGAGACGACATGGGAAATATATATATGTAAGATCATGATACTCACCCCGAGCGTGACGTCGACATGGAGGCGATCGCGCTCTCGAGTGACTTCTTCGAGTTTCTTCTTGGCCGCAGCTAGCTCGTCTCGCTCCTGATCTTGATCGCCAATGATCTTCTGCATTTTTTGGCTGAGGGATGCGACCTCGTCTTGGCGGATCTGGATCTTCCGGAGAGCAGCATCGCGCTCTGCTTTAGCTTGAGCGAGCTGCGCCTTGAGATCACCATCGCTAGAGGAACCGAGATCTGCGTCCACCCGCGCGATCTCGGCCCGAGAGAGTCTCAGCACCTCCTCCGTGTTACGGAGGCGCTCCTCAACCTCGAGACGAGCTATATTGCCACGCTGGTGTTCATCACGAAACTCCGAGATTTCTTCACTGGTTTGGTAAACATTGGCAACCAGACTGTCGCAATGAGAAGCCAGATCATTGCGCTCGCGAAGGAGATCGTTGCGCTCTCGAGTCAACCGGTCACACTGGTCAACCAGAGGAGCAACTTGGGCATCGAGATCCGCGACTTGGGATTCCAAAGTGTGGATCCGATGGCTCTGGTCTTCGGGTAAGTCGCGGTCGCTACGATCCAGAGTGTCTACAGCGAAGTCTCGAGCCCGACGAACACGCTGGATCTCTTGCTGCATGAACGCGATTATCCCGTCCTGCTCATGAAAATAATCTTGTAGGCCGCGGAGATTCTCAGAAGCGACGAGATCCTCGTCAGCGTCCATAGCGGCGCCAGTTGCTAGACGAGCTTGGCGCTCACCAGTGCGTCGAAAGGGTTCCACCAAGATCTGCTGCAGATCCTCTAGCGTGTCATCTTCGGTGTAAGACAACTGGGACGGATCGTCGCGCTGCGACCCAGAGGGAGT